AGGGAAAGGAGCATTTGAACTTATTGTCAAAATTTATAAACCAGGAATGACTAAAGTCCTGGTGGAGGAAAATAGAATACCAGGCTTCAATATAATCAGAATAATTATATTGCAATTTTGACTAAAGGGTTTTCAACTCATAGGGGTGGCTACTGAAAGAATCTTGACTTATGACTTTGTGGATATAGAGGGAATAATAAATGATGATCTCAGGGTGATCACGATCCTTTATCGGCTTAATTTCAACTGACTGAGTTTCAAGTAATATATCTCTATAATACTTGAGAGACTTGTATGGACTGGGCGCATATAATGAAATCCCAGGGGGAAATAGTGTATGGCTATGGCAACTGGATCAGAATTAATATCATAAACAGGCTCAACAACAAACATGTGAAAATTGCTTTTGGTCATATAGGGAGATGTCTTTTTGAAGGCAACTGAGGGACCGGCTGAGGGATCAACTGAAAAAGATCATAACTGGAGATTAAGGTCGACTGATAACTGGGCCGAATTTGGCCAATTGTGGAACCTAAACTAGAGAATCTATTAGCAACTGATATTGGTGTGGCAACTGAGATTAGAGGGCAACAAGGAAAAGGGACCAACTGTTTGGGTGTTTCTGGCTTATTTTGACTCATGGATGGGGGGAGGATTCGGAGCGACTGGGATGGCTTGGGTTGTTTTGCTGATTCTTTTTGCTTATCTTTTTTGGGTGCCATTATGCATCTAGCAGGAATTCTCAAGTAAGAAAATCAGCGATTGATATATATATATATATATAGCTTCAAGTCATGCATATATATATATATATATATATATATAGCTTCTATTGATGGATCTTTCAAATAAGCTTATTTGAGGGACACCCTTATAGAGCCCACTGCGTATTGTATTTTACTAATCCAAACTGTATATTTTGTAGACATTCATTCAAAGATCATCTCTACAAAAAATCACTTGAATCTGATATCATTTAACCACTCAAATGAATTATTGAAATTTTATTACTTTCTTTAAGCACCATGTTCATTGATTTTGTAAGACACAATTGCATGTCGAAATAGTTTTCAATTTGCCTAATTTTTTGCAAGGATGATCTATAAATGTAGAATTTAAAAATAGATTGTTTGGATTGTTGAAAAAAAAATTCGTAGTGGACCCTAAAGGGTGTCCCTCAATAGAAGGGGACTATATATATATACACAATGTATTAAAAGAAAATTAAAAAAGAGCTGAGTAAGGCTGCATGACTATACCATTTTCAAAAAAATTAGGAAAAAAACCATGTATAGCCGATCGGCTATACTATTTCTTTTTTAAACAATTAGAAAACCGAGTATACTCTCGTGGCTATACAATTTATTTTAAACAAAATTAAAAAACGGAGTATAGCTGCTCCCCTAGTCGGCTGATAACAGTGACAAAGATCTTTGGATCAGGATATAACCCCTGTTCCTGCATCACCAGCCTTACAATGCCACTGCATCAAGGAATTAAACCTCGTTATATCAGCTTTTACACCTTGTTTTAAGTTTTCTTGAAAATATTTTTGAGTTATTTCTTTAATTTTATTATTTATACATGAGATATTGGAAAAGGAGAATTTAAATTCTTTTTGATACCTCACATTCTAATGATTTCCATCTATTAGCTTTCTCAGTCATTCTTTCTGACTTTAGTGTTCCAAAATGTTAGGCCAATCCATGAATCTAATTTTCCATGTCCTAAAAACAAGTCTCGCTGGTATTTGTTCTTTTTAACCCCCAACAGAAACATAACT